GAATTTTCAGTTGACATCGCACTTTATCGGCGCGAATGAGAGCGCGTTTGCGAATTGGCAGGTTTTTGTCGAAAAATTTCCGAAAACGAGAAGACATCGCTCGACTGGATGTCATATTTCGCGAACGTTGAGCATTAATCGCGCGAGAAAATGCCATAAAGAGAGAGAGGAAATCACGAAATTATTCATCTGTCAATTTCGGAGCAGTTACAGAACGCCTCTATCGATGGTGCGAACAGACGATTCAAATGACGAGATCATTCAGTCGATGGAAAACGATTGAAATTGTTCCGAGACATTGCCTTGATTTATCTCCGCCTGGAGAGAATTCTACGTTACAAAGGATATATCAGGATGAAAAAATTTTACGATTCGTCAAATGAAAAATATGACACGCGAACAAAACTCATGGCGCTTAAAATTAAGCAGAATTGAACGATTAAAAAAAAAATAAAAGTAAAGTGTGCTAAATGGAAAATAATAATATAAAAATTTTTAAGTTTAGTTAAATACTCTTCAACCGCGACATCTTTTTCTCCATGACTTTTATTCGCGGAAAAAGATCCAAAATTTGTTAACGCATGGCATATTTTTCCAATTTAAAAATCTAAGCACTTTAATTATATAGGAAAATACATATTCGAAACTTTAGATTTCAGTATTGTTGTCTCGACAATAAATAATATTTGATGATGTTTGATCGGCTAAGGATGGAAAATCAAAATTACCAATGTTAATTGCCTTAACAATCCGGCACCTTTGTCGAATTATCTTAATTGCATAATTCATTGAGAAGCTATCAGAAGCGACTTTATGCGAGCAAGCATGTAATTTGCAGCTCGTGCTGCCAAGTGTGCTGCTTCGTGCTAAATTAGCGATTTCATTCAACCACCTCCGGTCGCGATTCACGGAAGCAACTTTCCTTCCTGTACGTGAAAGGGAGGAAGTAAGCTTCTATTCTCATGAAGCGCGACGAAAAGAAACGATTAATCGGTAGATTTCAATGATCCTGATGACGGTTCAGACAGTTTTTTACTCAACGGATTGTCAAGATACATGTTGCCACTTCGTTAAAGCGCTAAATATATAAAGCTCCACTATCCTCGCTTGCAATTAATAAAATCGAAAATCACCATAATATGTAACGATTAATGTGTCATATATATTTTTTTTATTAAAGATTCTTCCAAACATATCGCTTATCACGAAACGAAAGAATCAGCTACGTGAAATCAAAACGTTCACTGAACGCTCATTAGAAGCTAATTGCTTCGTGCTACTAGACTTCGCTAATTAAGAGATGCCAGAAAAACTTTCTGGCTTTCAATGATCGTTCTATCCTTTTCTTTCTTTCTCTCACTCTCTCTTTCTCTGTTGCTTTATGGACTGAAACAAATTACTAGCTATGCAATGTAATTCTCTGTAATACTGTCGGACGTTGAAGGGGTTGGAACAGCAGCAAAATAGCCCATCAAATGGCCCTGCAAAAGGGCGAGAAAGGGCACTTCGTGGGTACGAAATAGAGCCTAAAAGGAATTTGCGTTCAGCGCCGCTCTCATGGGGGTTTGTTTTAAGATGCATCGCACGACGCATTTATCCCAGCCACGGACTTTAATTAAACTTTCTTTCCCAAGGGAGAGAAAGTAGTATAGGAACAATCCTCACCGTGTGTATGTGCGTGAGGATACTCTTTTTTCCCCTCTTCTTCTTCCTTTCATTGAACAACAGAAGGAACCAGCTTCTGGAAATCGATGGGTTTTTTTCCTGCGCGTCGCGCATCGTCGCGTGGAATAACGTTTATTATACGTAGTTTGTTGCGCCAACTCTAATTAGACCAAAGTGTGCTTAATCAAATTTCCTTTCTTATTATAGTTTGAACGATGATGTAAAAAGAGATAGAAAGTTCTCGTTATAACTAGAATTAAACCAAGTTAATTAATCGAGACACTAAAAAGTTAATAGAACTATAACAGCTAAAGATATATTGTCTTTGTAACTCGTTTTTAGATGATCCTTAAATAAAAAATATTTCAAAAATCGCAAATCACGAATTCTGAAGTTATCATGATCGTTGATTTCAACTCGCGCCTCTTCCGAATCTCACTTGTTCGCGGTAATCTAGGACGCCACGTGTAGTAACGTGATTAAAATGCGAAAGTGCTTTAATTCAACCTATGCGTTGAATATCAAAAGTGCACTTTTCGCATCGTACTAGATATATCCACCGCTTGCATTCGATGGTAACGAATCCCTAAAAGTATTAATCCAACGTGATTTGTTTGGCTTCTATCGTTCGTATCTGAGTTGATTTTCATTTTTGCAATTTATTTTTTTAAACGAGGCAACAGTTGATTATCCTTACGCCAGACGATCATCAGGATTATACGTTTTGTTGATACTCGATTGCTTTATCGCGAGATTTATGTAAATGTTAAAAAACGCTTGTTTGATTTTCAAATTGGCAAAAATTAAATTACAAAATTTTAAGCTTGTAATATAATATTGATTACTATATATCAAGCTTTTTTACATCACAATGGGTCTTTTATTAGGTAAAAAAATATGTTACGACAATTACATCGATTGTTCGACGATTTTATGGGCGGTTAACACGCTGTTTATCGAGGGAGAATACTAAACAGGCTCATATAGGTAGATATATGTGTGCAGGACATTTATATGGGAAACATAATGCAACAGAGTATATATGAGGCTCTACGAGGGAAATCTCAAAGCTTAGGATGTCGTAATCGTAAAAAAGAAATTGAAAAACAAATTCGTTGTACATGAGTATTCGAGGAAACAAAATACATTCGGGACACGTCGCAGAAACTAAACCAACTAATTCGGTACGGCAAGAACCAAAGATGTGAGCGTTTCCTAGGCAATCAAGCGTTTTATGTAAATATGGCATCGACGAGCTGCTTAAGCTGCTGGCTTGAGCTCCGTTCTAAAATACTGTTTAGTTTCGGTCATAGCTGTAGAGATTAATTTTAACAATCATGTACTACAGCGTTTTCACGTATAAATGTAATTTGTAATCTATTTTATCATCTCTCTGTTGATATCACAACGGAATGTACATAGTTCAGCTTGTTTGTCAGATTTTATTTTCGACATTCACATCTTTACTGCTTGCTATTTCGACATAACGATTACCATCGATGCACACAAGTATAAAAATAAAATTATACATAAAAGAGTCCCGAGGAGAACCTGTCTACGAATGAGTCATCTTTCGCGAATGAGCGGACTGACTATATGTTTACGAGTGTAATTGAATAGCGAGCAGATCGTCGGCATCTTGTATAAAAATATTCGCGTCTCATGTTGCTTCAATTTTATGACGTCACCGAACGATCCGCTTAGAGAACACTGTAATTGCGACAATTTAAATATCGTGACGCGAATACAATCTGCTTATGTTTTTAAAAATATTTCCTGACGGAGGAAAACGTTCACGACACAAAGAGTGTATTATTTCCCCTCTCTCTCTCTCTCTGTCTACTAAATTCTCTTTAAATCGAACGATCCACTTAAAATAGCAATTGCAACATTTCTAATGTGTGTTTTACTCGTCGATAATGCACTTTCGTTTTCTTATTCCGCGAGAAAAATACAAGGAACATTTTACAACGGGCGCCTTTTTCCGCTACTCCGGATCTCCCTAGACAAAAGGTATTGTTTTCTTTCTATTAAAAGTTGGACGCAGGAATCTCGGGGAGTTTAAGCGGGGAATTCAATTTGACGAGCTTAACGCGCGAGGAATCTGGACGGAGATCAATTTTTGGCGATGTTCTTCGCTTCTTTTCTCGGCGAGAGAAAGCAAGTCTGTACCGCTAAAATGCGATAAACCGGTGGTGGGATTTGAAAGCTCTTAGCGTTGATCCCCGCGATCCTTCGCGACATTCTCGGCGTCCTACACGAATGCGACATATACTCCGGAATTGCCGTGACAGGAAGTCGTTTCCTTCGTCTGATATCCCCCCCCCCTCTCTTCCTTCTCCCAGGAACAACTGTCCCGCCGTGTTGAAAATAAAGCAAGATTGTGACTCGTCATGGCGAAATTTTAACAACCTTTTGCCAGACAAATAATTTCGCGGAAAAATGGGAAAATTAATGATTTCAATTTTTTTTTCAGCCGGTTTTAAGAAGCTATCTATTCGAGTAGATAATGCACGATTTTAGAAAATTATTCGCAACTCTGGATCAAAAGGAAATTAAGGATAGAATAGAATACTGGATAATAAGTCCCAGGAAAGGAGAAAAGAGGGAGTTATCGATTCCCGGGAAACGTATAATCCTGATTTTCGCGCGGTGACCTCCTTATTCTTCCACCACGTTTCTAATTCGAGCTGGAGCAATCCTTTTGAGCGGTAGGTCGCCCGAACACGCCAGCCCTTTCGAGAAGCGATTGAGTTGCCCTTTTCGGCGTGCTTGATTCACGAATTCGCTTTCAAGCGCTCATTATCCGAACGATAGAACCGATTCACTTGTCATCCTAGACTACCTTCGTAATTCGTCGTCTTCGATTTTCCACCTTTACTGGTCTGGTTACTTCGTCGTAGGTTTTCTAGGAATTGCGCAAAAAAACAGGCGAAGGTACGTTTATGGGGCGCGCCGTTGCATCATCTTTATCAGTAATTAATTAAAGTTTCGAAATTTGCATAATCCTATTTTGAAATTATACATAATAATTCTCGAATTAAATACCATCTTGGTAACTCGATGGTACTTGGCATAATTTAGATAGAGAAATTAATTTAATAGTCTGTATATTTTTTTTTCTCATTTCATTTAATATTGCTATATAATTATCAACGTTGCATGATGTGTATCGTCAATACGCGTAATGTTGAATAATTACCGCTATTGTGTCAGATGATCGTGACGCACCCCGTTCTTCACGGATATATACACATATGAATGTATGTACAGACATTGTAAAAACATGTTTGTGTGCTAGATGCGAGTTATCGTTGTTTGACAATCATAGGTACCTATTAAAGGGACAGCGTCCGAAGTCGTCGGCATGCTTTCTGCCACGAGGTTCAGGAAAACTGTCAGCGACAGCAGAATGGTCACTCCTGAACAGGTCCAAAAAAATTAAACATCGTTAAACTGCGTTGCAACGCGCCGGTTTAACGTCTATCTCGCGGATTTAGGGCACCTAGATTAAGCTTACAACACATTTGCTATATTGCTGACACTCCCTTCTTTTCCCTCAAAAACTAAGAGAGATCGGGATAAAATCGCACGAGTATTTTCGACTTTTCCGAATAACCTAGATCAACGCAAATCGCATCGTGTTCGAATATCGTTCAAACTTCTGAGTTTTCCTTATCAGAAATTTCCTGAGTTTGTAGCAGATTCTGACTCAAATTATCGTAATTACGATTTGCCGATTGATAGCGTCGATTTGCAGGACTAACTTGGACGCGATCTGTAGACCGATTTTGTGAAATTGCATCTTTTCAATCGTGAAAAAATATATAATTTGGATAATTCGAGAGAGAGATTTATAGGATTAATAATATTTCTATGACTCTTCCACTATGATATAAAATCTTTTCGTCTACAAATTTTTCTGACAATTAGTCATCGCTTTTTCTCATAATACCGATTTTATATTGCTTTCTAGTTTTATAAAATAAGCCTTATGTTTGTGTCTTTCTAAACTTTTAAGAGCTGAAAGATTCATATACAATATAATGAGAGAAAAATGAAGGTAATTTGCCGCAGCAGCATAGAATGATTTATGAATTCGCTTACTGCAACGAGAGATTAATGATGATGAGAGAACGCCAGGAATGATCTGATAAAATCTATGCGATTGCTTCGAAACATTCGGGAAGACGTATCTACGATGATTAAGCTCGCATGATTAAGAGCGGACGACCGCGAATAATCGACTGCCGAATCTTGTTCATATAGTTTCTATTCGCCCTCGCCAGGATTTCCAAGGATAGCCGGCAAAGTTCGAAGCACGTAACGGACGCTGCGCATGGGTACGCTATGTTGCTGAGGAGCCGCAACATTAGGTGAGACTTGGACGAACCTGCCTAAGTCGCCGGCAACTCCATTACTGCGTAACAGCATTCGAAGTGACCGGTGAAATTTGATTATCTTACTGCTCCCTTCCAGAATCACAAACTTTTGCGAACGATTGACAATCCTCGCCGAATGAAACGGACGGTTTGACCGCAAGCAATTGGAGTGTGCAAATTCTAAATTGTCATATAAATTTGTTGAGAGCTGACGAATTCGATTAAGAACCAAATATAAATGAATACTAATTGTGAGGCTATTACTCTGTGCAGGAAATAGTATAAGGGTAGAAATGCAAATGCAATGTTTGGTTTTTGCACTTTCATTCATTAATAAAACTTTTTAATTAGTTTGAAAATGAGATACATAAAATATCTTAGAATTAGCGGAAAGTGTGTGGATGCAATTATGTTTTATGATCTTTGATAACAGCTCTTATTAACGAAGAAAGTTTTAGAGCTGTAAGTCTTCGAAAATGACATTCCTTGTATATTTTTATATACTAATATTAATGTATTAATTATAATGTAAAATTGTTCATTATTTTATTGTTACAGGATAATGTTGAAGATAATTTATCCGTTTTACATTTACATGAATCATTATGCATTAGTATCATTTGCTTTCATAATAATTAGTAGAGCCAAATTTTAATTTTTCATGGACAAAACCAACAAACCGTAACACCGTATATTAACCTGTTAAATTTAGAGCATTATGATGACTCTCAAAAGCGTGAAGGGATTTGACAATGAGTCATTAAGCTTGTGATGCATGTATACGTAGTTAAATAACTTGAAACTCTGTAGAGCGCAGTGGATTCACTATGTCGATGAATTGTCGTCGCTATTAAATCGCTCGCGGACCAGAAGGTATGAAACGTGACGCGTCCGTTGATGCTTCGGGAACAAAGCAATCTCGTCATAAATAACGCGGTAATCGACAAAGTTAATTAATGAGAAATGCGTATAAACACCTGAGTCTCGAGCAATTGCCAAGTAATTATTCATGTTAAATTTAATTGCGCTTGTCCTCACACACGCCGATTTTATTTGATTTGTAGAGAAATAATATATTGATTTTCAGGACATAATGAAAAGAATATGCGATATTCTTCAAAATGTATTCAGTTATCAAACAATATCAGATATCAAAGTATTGTAATATATTTATATTATATCACCGTTTCTCTCGAAATCGAGGAATGATACGTTAACGATGTTAATGACACGTAAGATTGACTTTTTCTTCGCAGTTCTTCGCGCTTCAATTCATTTAAAAATTTAAATGAGATTTTACATGTGAATCGAATGAGAACGTCGTAACCCCGGGAGATCGACGAGCGCAAACCGCGACAAGGTGCATTCGTGGCGGGTGGCAAACCACCAATATCACCGGGGATTGTCGGTCAGTGTGGAAGGTGTGGAACTTGAGGGAGGGTGACCAATCAATTCCTTGCTATTAGACCCAAGCATGTGCTG